CAGAGCCCTGGCTTGGAAACAAAGACAAACCTTGGGATTTTTTTCTTTTTTCCTTTTTTTTTTTCTTTTGTTTTTACTGGAACCTTGAGCAACAGTGTGGCATTTCTGCGGGCTGGTCTGAATGGATCTGCTGAAGAACAGATGGCCTTTGCCTATTCCTATGGCTGCCACGCAATCGGTCTCATCCATATGGTCACATCCTGTCTGTGGAGCAGACTTTCCAAAGCCAAGATCTCCCAGACTCCGTGCCTCCTCCTAGGGTGAACAGCAGGTGCTATCGGCAAAGACTCATCTGTTCTAGATGACGTTGATGGTTGAGGGAGCCTGAACTGTAGGAGGCAAAGCTGCAGAGACTTCTCTCTTCCAGTGCGTGTCTTCATTTTTAATGTGACAAAACGCCAAGGCCATATCACTCTGTGTCCCAGCTGACATTATCGGAACATTATTCATGTTACTGGTTGCTAACAAAAGGGTCCAGATTTCAGGGCAGCTGAGACTGGCCTCTGGACACCTTGGTGACTGCAAAACGGAAAGCAACCTGCCCGGTCAAAGGTGACTGCTTCACTGAAGACTCTTCATGCTACTTTTTCGGAAGCACAAATGTGGTCATTGGCTTGTCTGGTTGGCTTGGTTTATTTCCACCGCATCATCATGTGCGAATGACATTTTCTTTTGGACCTGAGAACTCTTCCAAGCACACAAACATCTCCACAATGTGAAATGTAAATAGCATGTTGGACTCTCACGTCCAGTGTTCAAGACTGCATTGTACTTGTAAAGGAAATCGAATCAAGACTTGGCTGTGAATTTCTTGTGCTGTCTTGGGAATATAACTGTAGTGTTTGTATCCTGTATGTAATATTAAATTGAGTTCATTTTATGTGCTGATAAAAGGGTTCAAGCTAAGATCTTTAGAGTACATCCATGTATCCAAATGTGAAGGATGGAGTGCTCCCTTCCCCTCCTGTCCTTTTTAAGTTTTTTCTCCATTTGATAGGTGTTAATTTTCCATGTACAGTCATCTCAGCCAAGATGCAAGGGTGTTCATTTGAGTGCTTCGAGGGGGACACAGTGCATGGGGATTTAAGTGATCCTAAGTTAGGATTTCCACAGCAGTTCCCTGTAGCTCCTTAGTGCTCACATGAAAAGTTTAGTCTTTCTGAGAGTGAAGTGTTTCTCTGCGGGCTGCTTAACCGTCACTTATGGGAACTTTAGGCAGTGCAGTGCTGAGAGCAGCCAGGCGTGCGTGGGTACCTGGAGAGCAAGGTGCAGAGATGCCCGTGTGGGTAACCCCAGCGCTGTTTCTGGTCCCACCTTCCCGTCCTTGCAGCAGCTACAGCAACTGAAAGAGCACATGGAGCCCTGGGAAGGAGAGAGGAGTGTCTTGGCTTGCTGACTGCAGCTGCCACACCTGGTTTAAGAGCACAGGCTGGTGTGTTTTCCTTCTTAACGAAGCCACCAGCGAGGGGTGTTTGGGAGACTACGTAGGTGGGGACCAGGGAGAAGCCAGGAGCCTTCCTCCACTAAACCAGCCTGCTAGTGGAGCGCTGCAAACGGCTTGGGGAGACAAAGCCGGCCAGAACCTTGGCACGGGTCCTGTTCCCTGCGAGAGGCCCTGGCACCGCTCCGTGTGCGTCTTTACCCGGGTGGCTGTTCCCATCGCAGACAGCTCCTTTTCCAGCAGCTCGCTGGGTGCCGGGGCCGTGTGGTGCCAGGCTGGGGGTGCCCGGGGAGGGTGGTGGGTCCTGCCCGGTGTCTCTGCACGCACAAAGTGGCCCGTGACCGATGCACGGCTAGAAAATTCAGCGTACTCCTTTGCTAAGAGGATAAGTGTAGCATGACGCTCCTCGGTGCTCTGCATGTTCGATACCACATTGCTCCTCACTATGCAATTCCAAACTCCTTCCTCTCCCTCCTCTAATCTCAACGCCGACTTCAGCAGCGTCCGCAGAGCAGGAGGCCACCCAAGCCCAGAAAGGCTCCCTGGGTTCTGCACTGGGTGCCCAGCCCTTATGTCACGTGCCTCAGGTCCCTTGTTAACAGGAGGCCCCATGAGTTTTATTCACATCATTCAGAGGGAAGTATTTTTTTTTTCTTGGACACTGTGCACCAAACCTAACGATGAACATGTACCTGGCCTTTTTGTAACAACTTTTCTGTTTTTCTTCTTAACCATAATGGTTGTATATCATACCACTTTATATACATATATAATATATAAATATATATAATTTTTTTTAAACTTTGGACCTGCTAGTTTCTTTCAAGTGTTCCTGCACTTACCCAAAATGTTTTTAAATTGTGAGGGTTAAAGAGGATTGAGCCCATTTTTGTATCTTTCCTTTTAATTCTGTAGTTCTATTGATTGTAATGTAGCTATTTTTTACTGTAACTTTTTGTTTTGCAAATACTAAACAAACAGAAAAAAAAAAACCCTAAATGTAATTTCTGTGGTTTCTATTCAGCTTGGATTTCATGTTTTAAAAATAAACAACTTAAAACCACTGTTCCTGTTTATTAGCTCTTATTTACTTATTTTGTGTCTTTTTCTTAAATCTGGCCCAATTGCTGTTACTTCTCCTGTGCCGGTGGAGATCTGCGCCCCAAGAACAGGGCCCTGGGCCCTCCTGAAAGGGCCACCCGGGGCCATTCTCTGTCAGTCACCCCAGACGTTGCCTCCTGCTCCAACCTCGGCGTTTGGACGGCTCCAGCCATGGAGAATCCCAACAAAACCAGGGGCTGCCACGTATGGCGCTGGCTCCAGTGCCTGTCGCCCCTGCATGAGGCCTGGGGCAGGACTGGAGCTTTTTCCCGAGCGGGCGTTTTTGGAGGGGGAGGAAATACTCTCAGCATGGGAAGGAGCAGGAAAAGCCTCCTGTTAGGGGCTGCTGACGGGGTTTGCAGCAGGAAGCTCCCAAACTGCTGGCGCTGTGAGCGTGTGGCCGCTCTCAAATGTCACCACTAAGTGGCAGAACTGGCCTGTGTCCCTCCAGCCCTGACTGAGGGCTCCGTCACTGCCATCCCGGGCGGCTTGCGCTGCGTTATGTGCACATGGAGGTGCTCCTGCCTTGTCCTGCTCCAAGTGAGCACCTGATTTGGGGAGCTCTGTGGATTTTGATAGGCCTGGAACCTGTAAGGACTTTTTTTTTTTTTTTTTTTTTTTTTTTTGGCTGCTGCTGCTCTTGCCCTTGCAAAATCTGAGCAAGACTCTAAACTGAGCCCTATTTTCTTCCCCACACTAATAACTGGCAGATTTACTTTTCTTTTCTTTTCTTTTCTTTTTCTTTTTCTTTTTCTTTTCTCCTCATTTTCCCTTAGAAGAGGAAGCCATGCCTTCCACCTTCTCCTCTTGAGATGATTAAACCTGGTGCAAAGGGCTTGGAGCAGTCAAGCAAACCGTGATGGCATGAAGAACTAGACAGCTCTCAGCAGGGTCAGCGTGTCACTATTTTACCAGGTTTATTGACTCCCACCAGAGGTGGGAACAGGCGGAAGCCTCCTGCCCCACGACCTTTCCCAGCGCTCCAGCTCCTGCCCCTTGTTTGAGCACATGCAAAGCAGGGCTGGTCCCTGAGGCACGTAGCTCTGGGAGCAAACGGAGGGGAGCATCACGGGCGGCTGTGCTGAAACCTCAGCTCCTGAGCACCCTTCAGTAGTGGGCGCTCAGATCTCGGGCCTTTGTGATAAGGGAGGGCTGGATGCCCTGGGGCGGCGCGTTCGGATGTCTCTGTTGATGGGGGCTGAGCTGGAGCACCCAGAGCTCTGCTTTGCAGCTGGGAGAGGTGAGGGGGGTGGTTGGTAGGATGAAAAAAAATCCCAGCACTGGGTGGGTGTGTGGAGTGGGACTCGGGTTACTGATTAAATGTCCCTATCTCTTACAACCTGTGGGGGTGGGAACAGGGTGCACCAAGTTGCCCTTGACAAACTGGCCTGGATTCGCCCAGTTTCTCCAATCAATCAGATGCACCTGAGTCACCTCCCTCCTTGGGCAGGAGGGCTCCGATTCGCCACCTTTCCGAGGTTCCTGGAGTCGGGAGGGGGCTGAAGTGGCACCCAGGACTTGGTCCTGCTGCCCTTGCTCACGCTGCAAGGCCAAGAGCACCAGCGCCTGAGGGCTCCCCTTGCACTGCACAGCTGGTGGCAGCAGCCCTTTAGGGCCAGATCGCATAAAGCAAAGCCCAAACAGGGAGGCACAGACGTGTCTGACCACGTGGGGATGCTGGCGGCCCGTTCCGAGGAGCTGGAAGTGTTTGATGGGTGCCTGAGTTGCCAGGCTTGTTCTGGGCAAAAGCTCAGGCTGCCGCAGAGAGCTGAGGAGAACCGGGTGCTGGGCAAGAGACTGCAAGAGCTTTGTGCTATGCAAGGACTGCCCCTATGCAAGGACTGCCCCTGTGCAAGGGCTCAGCCAGGTCTGTGCAAGGATCTGCAGCTGCTCTTTGGCCCCATGTGCGAAAGAGCCCTAAGGAGAAGCCAAACTCCTTAGGGTTGGGCTGGTAGGTGACAAGAGAAGCCCCTTTTCGGGGCTATCCCCCCTCCAGTGACACTCGGTCGAGCGCCCACAGGCAGGTCCAGGGCTCTCCCTGCCCCGGGGCGCCCGTTCTCCTCCCTTGGCGCCGGGGACGTTGCAGACACCGACACGAGGAGCTTCTCCCCCTGCTTCCTGCTCGCAGGAGCCGCACGGGATCTCCGTCAATCACCGCCCCCGGCCCGCGAGCGCCTGGCGGGGCAGCCCGGGAAGGGGCCCTGCCGGATGCGTGTTGGCTCTGCACCGGGATTGCTGCCGGAGAGCTTTTGGGGAGGGGGAAACGCGCTCGTGCCTGGGAAACGAGTGGGAGGGCGGCAGGATGGGGGACAGGGGCTACAGAGTGGGGAGGGGGTCGGGGTTCCTGTTCGGAGCCGATGGGAAGTGTTTCCAGCTGCTCCAGCGGGGCTCGACGCATCCCTGCTCGCTGCCCTCTGCTTGCCTAGGGGCTGCAGGAGCCAAGCGAGCCAGAAGCAGCCGGGTGCTGGACGCCCGTCTTAAACGTTGCTAAGAGGAAAATGAATTTGGGGGGTTTGGGGTGTTTCGGCACAAGGATGCGAAAAGGGAGACCCTGGAAGTGGCATCGATGGTGATAGACAGAAACTGAGGCCAGGAGGAAGGGGCAGCGCGTGGGGGACTCTGTGGTTTGGGGTGGGCCCGGCTGTGTTTGGCGCAGGGCTGCGCGTGCACGCGGGGGCGGAGGCGCTTTCACACCCTGCTGGGGGGTATTTTTAGCCCAGCCAACCCTGATAAGGGAGAAACCCCAGGGAAAGCATGAAGGAAGCGCCCTTGAAATGCAAAAACACAGCCGGGCTGCGGAGGGGGAGGCCGCGAAAGGAGATGAGGTGGCAGATGCAGCCCTCAGGGCTGCAGCACAAGCCGGGTGGCGCAGGGGGTGGTGACACAGAGGGTGGTGACACGGGGCTGGCCCTGGCTGCCCCCCTCCCTGAGGGCTGCAGGACCCCCGGCTTCCCACGCCGGCGCCTGCCGCCGTCTGTTCGCACCCTCCTGCGAAGAAGCGGCTCGCGCCCAGCCCAGCCGCGAGAGCCTGGGAAAAAGAGGGAAAAAAGGGGGAAAAAAGAAAACCTTTTGCTGCAGCTAAGTGCCAGCACAGGGGGGACGCAAAGGTGATGCTGGCACCGCAGGAGGGAAAGGCGAGACCAGTGTGTGCAGCGTGGGAAAAAGGAGCTGGGCAGCCCCTGAGCAGATGGAGAAAACACAGGAGGGATGAAAACGGGGCAACCTGGGGCCCCTTGGCCAGCACCTTCCTCCCTGGTGCTCAGGGTCCCCCAGCTGCTGCTGCTCCCACCAGGGTCACATCCCTAAGAACCCCGGGCCCGTGTCCCTTCCCCAGCCCCACAACCATTGCTCTTAACCCCAGCCGCATTACAAGCAAAATAAAAACTAGAGAGCCCAGAGCGACATTCCAGATACTGGAACATATAAATTAAGGTAAGTGATAGTTACAAGACATTGCAAGACATTTTCTTCTTAAACAGATTATCAGAAGATTGTTTTCCTTTTTTTCTTTTCCGATCCACAGAAAACATATAAAAAGCATTTTAAAATCTACATAATTCTCACTGTGATTTTTTTTTTCCTCTCCTTTTCTTCTTTTTAAAAAAGGCACAGTAAAAAAAATACTGGCACAATAAGATATTTACAACGCACCCATTATGGGCTATTTTCACTCGGCTTCGGGTTGGAACCGTCCAGCTCTGCCTGTGGATGGTCCCCGGGTCGCAGGGATGAGCTGCACCTCCGCTTCCCTCGCCCTTCCCGCAAAACCTCAGCACCCGGATCAATATTTTGCGACGGGCCGAGGAAACGTTGCACAGGGCAATGTGTCCCCAGGCGGTTTTGCTGGAGGGGACAGCGGGGACAGAGCCGGGACGCTGCACCGAAGGGAGACGCTTGGGCTCTATAAATAGTGCATAGATTTATGCTGCTGGAAATACTCCAGCGAGACGTCAGGAGCTCCAGCAAACGGAGCTAACGGGATTCCCGGGCTCCCCCTGTGCCACGTGGGCTCCCTTGGGTGCAGCGGTGGCTCCCAGCCCCAGACCTCACCTGCGCCGCTGGAGCTGGGAAAGCTCCTGCTCCTCCCTCTCCGCTCCCTGGGAAGGGAGCTGGACGCGGACATGGCCCACGAACCTTCCTCTGCAGGAGGAGCTGGATCCCAGGAGCTGGAGCCCAGCTGCCAAGGGCAGGAGTGGGGACAGAGGCTGGGAGCACACGGGAATGGGGAACAGTCAGAGCCGAGGGTTGAAAGACACAAAAAAACCCCAAAAATTAACATTCAAAAAACAAACAAATGACAAAAAAAAAAAGGCAGAGGAAGCAAGCGGAGGTCGGGCCGCGCTCCCCACACCCTGCGTGGGAAGTCGAGCCCGGCCCCTGCGCCGAGTGTGTAAGTGCTCAGGAGCTGTCCCCGCCGGGCGGGCCGCGGGGACGGGGGCCGCACAGCAGCCTTCAGTACACGCTGTGCACGGGCACAGCTCGGGCCTCCCCGCGCCGGGGGGCCCACACGCACACGGCAGTCCCACGAGCCCTTCGGATACCGGGGAAGCTCGGGACGAGGCTAGAGAGGGGGCCACGCGCGGGCCCCCCTAGTAAACGACGTTGGCGGGGCACCACGGCGTGTCCGGGTAGAGCAAGCAGTGCACGGAGCGGAACCTGCGGAGAGGAGACGAGAGAGCGGCGCTGAGCGCGGGTGACGCCGCATCCCAGCCCCGCTCGGCTGCCGCCCGGGACGGGCCCTTCCCGCCGCCACGGGAAGCCCTGGGACCCACCTGGAGGGATCCTCCTCGACGGAGAACGCGCCCTTCATGTGGATGGAGTTGCGCTTGTTCTCAAACATGCCATAGCTTAGTGTCACCTGGGGGGAGCAGCACAGCAGGTCACGCGAGCGCAGGGGCAAGGGGCTGGGGGTGTTAAATGGGGGTCTCGAAGGTTTGGGAAACTCCCCACCATGGGAAACTCCATTGGATTCCCCCAGGAGGGACATCTCTGCCCTCTTCACAGGGATTTGAAGGGCTGTCTCCCTCCACTGCCTAATTTTTAAGCGACTCAACATAGAAGTTTACCTGCTTGTGGATCTCTGTCTTTGGCACCTGGTGGAGGTTCTCCAGGTGCGAGTGGAAGAGGTTGCTCCGGATGAGCTTCACCCCGAGCACGGACTCAATGATGTAGCCAATGGTGCAGTCATCGGGCAGGCGGATCTTCTCTGCGGTGCTCATGAAGTGACCGCCGCTGTGGGAGACAAGGAGCTGCAGAATAGGGTGCCAGAGCCCGCAGGGGAGGTGGCACCTCATGGGGTCTGGGGTGGGACACTGCTGTCTCACAATCAGACTGAGATTGGAAAGGACTTCTGGAGATCATCTAGTCCAACCTCACTGCTCAAGGAGGTCCACCTAAAGTACATTGCCCAGGACCCTATCCAGATGGCTTCTGAACATCTCCAAGGATGGAGCCTCCACAACCTCTTTGGACAACTCGCTCCAGTGCTCGGCCACCCTCACAGACTGGCCAGACTCTTGCTAAGAGGCAACAGGGCAAGAGGAACCCAACTCCCTTCCCAGTTTATTTCCAGATCCCTGCAGAAACCCCAGGATCTCCCCAGGACAAGCGACCAAGGCAGCAGGGCATATTTCAGCGCCAGCCCCAAAGACGCGGCACCCTCAGCAGTCCCTACGGGGCAGCAAGACCAACACTCTTACCTGGCCCACGGGCTCATCTTCAGCGCCAGCCCCCGGCTGATACAAAACCCGGCTCCTCCCGTGGCAAACCAGAAATGCACCGGATGCTGGGAGGGAGAGAAGGTAACAGTGGTGAACACGGTGCCCACCGCCACCGCGCGGGCCGGGGACCCCGGCCTGGGCCAAGGCAGCTCGGGGGCGCACAGAGCAGGCCGGTCCTCTCACCATCTTGTTTTCACTGATCCTCTCGGTCGCCTGTATGGGCCGGTCCAGGCTGGGCTTCCCGATGTAGATGTCCTGCGTGTGCGGGTAGCTGGAGAGCAGCTTGACCAGCGTGCGGACGTTCACGTAGTTGTCATCGTCCACGTGGCAGAACCACCTGGGGTCACAGCGGGCACCGCGTTACATCGGGTCAGGGTGTCCACCCCAACATGACAACACTGGATCCCCGTTTCCCAAGGGAAAAGCCCTGGGCGCCGCTTACTTTTTGCCGGACTCGATGAACTTGTCGTACTCCACGGCCATCTTGCAGGACAGGGCCTGGCGGCTGTGCGCAGCCGAGCAGTTGGTGTTGATGACGTTTCCTGCAGGGAGAGCAGGGGTTAAACCCGGGGGTAGGGGCAGGGGCAGATCACTGTTTTGGGTTGAGGGGACAGGTCTCTGGGCAGAGCTTTAGCATCCCCCTGAGCTAGGGTGAGGGCCATGGAAGAAGTAGAAGACCTAAGTTTTGGCAATGTATCTATACATATCTATCTATATTTATACACGGGCTATGTATTTTTTTTTCTCAGACATGTGATGGGCAACCTGCGAGCTGACTTCTCCCGCTGGGATGTGTTCCCTGGCACAAATCCTGCATTTTCCCACCATGGACCACCTGCTATTTGCCAGCCGGGCTCAGACCAGGCTCAAAGGGAGTCATTTGCATCATGAGAACAAGGCGAGCTGGCCGGGAGAGCTGGTGAGCGCTGCCCGGGGGAGTCCCGCACACCCCAAGAGTTGCCCAGTGAGCCCAGCTTGCCCAAGGGGCCAATGGGCACAAGGGCCCCTGTTACTGCGCTGCCCACGAGCGGTTTGAGAGAGGGAGGACGGGCTGAGGGTGGGCAAAGGGGCACGGACTCACTTGCTTGTTTCTTCAGCTCTTCATCCTCACCGTCTGTGAAGATGAATGTCTGAAAGAGAAGATGAGGCGCCTTTGAGAACCGAGGTGGCACCATGTATTGCCCCATGGGTGCCACCTGGCAGCACCCAGGGATCAGCCCCACACAGAGGGGACTTGCCCCTCTTCACTAAACCCAATACAGCCCCTCTAATGAAGAGGGATGTGACAAAGCGAGCGGCCATCCCCAAACCCACTGGGAGTGGGCATGGAGAGCCGGGATCTGGGGAAGCAAAAGCCCTGCTGTTGGACGGCGCATTCAGAGAGGCTCACGCAGATATATCAACCAGGAGGAGGGAGACGGGAGCAAGCGGGGAGGAGGGGACACAAGCACCTCCACCTCCATCCCCCTGCTTTCCTAGGGACGAGGCCGCAGGGCCCGCCAGGTGCATGGAAGCTGGGGGAGATGCTGAGGACAAGCCCAACACAAGGTCCTGCACAAGGTCCTCCAGCAGCAGCCACCTGCCCTGGGAGCACCTGAACGGCCACCTGGCCCCACTCCTCTATTTGCACAGCTAATTCCTGGCATATGTCACTGGGGACAGCAGGGTCCTGCTGCTTGGAGCAGGGGGGACAAGAAACACGAGCAAAGGAGGGGTGGGAAAGGCACCTCCATCCACCAGCGAGCAGCAAACAAAGCCGGAGGAGAGAAACCACAACCAGCTGCCAAGCGCTATTAAAAACCAGACGTGCACAAAAGGGCAAAGGATGAAAGACAAAAGGGCCGGGAGGGAGGCAGGAGCCGGCGGGGAGGGAAACGGGGACAAGGCTCTGGGGATGATGGATTACAAGTGATCTGGAAACTCGCTGCCACCCATCGCTGGGGCGGCCCCGGCAGCGCGCGGGGTTTTGTGGCTTGTTTGCGGAGCCGGTGACAATAGCGGGGCGCGCGGGGCTGACTTTACTCAGGCGGGCAGAGTTAAGCACAGCATTAGGCGGGCATTAGCATACAGCTGGGCTGGTTAAGCGGGACTCGCCTGACCCCACTGTGTTTGCTCAGGTCCCTGCGCACAGAGGCTGCCGGGAAGAGCAGGGAGGCGGATGGATGGCCGGGGCGGAGGATGCGCTGCCGGCGGCTACCAGTGACCTTTTGGCCCAAAAGGGGACAAAACGAGGGAGGAGATGGAAAAGGCGAGTTCCCAATGGCACATGCCAAAGCGCGAGGATGCCCGGGAGGAGCTGGCCACCAGCGCCGGTTCAGAAGGAGCTGCCCATGCAGCGATGCTCGGTGCCCAGCTCCATCCCCGTGCGGACGGGGGAACGGGCAGAAAAGGCTCCCTTGAAGAGCTGTGAAAGGCCGTCCAGCAACTGCGCCTGCAGCAGCTCCAAAAATAACCCTGCAGCTAACGCTGCGGCTCCACGGCTATAAATAGAGCCTGGGGACAATTGTTTACGAGGGCCCACGTCGGAAGGCTTCATCCTGAAGATGCTTCTTCCCCTGGCCTCCCCCCTGCAGCCTCCCGGCGCTGCCGGAACACCCGTTCCCAACGGGAAGGGACGGGCTGGCACCTTACAGAGTGTCCTGGACCAGCCCGCCCGGCCCCAGGGCCCCGCTCGCACCCGGCCCTGCCGCCCGCCTCGCCGCGGCCGGAACCCAGCCAAGAAATTCAATTAAACCCTGAACAATTATAGTTTCTCTAATTAATTTGTCTGCATTTCTTCTAGATGAGATCTGCCCTTCCTGCACAGTCCCCCCGGCCCTGCGCAGCCTGGAGACAGCAGCGGGATGGAGCAGAGGCGCCAGCTGAGCCCGGGGGAGGAAGCGGGCAGGGAAGGAGAGGGACAAGGAAACGTGGTGCGGGAAGCTGAGGATCGGCTGCCTCCGAGGGCCTGTCGCTGATCCCGTGGCCACCCCTTGCAAACACAGGATGCTCTGGGAGATGCAGCTCGGAGCTGAATACCGGCCTGCAGCAGCTCCTGCTTCACAGCGGGATGCGCCGCTCCAGCTCAACAGGATGGATGTGACACTTGGAGACCCCTCCGCAGCCAAGAGCAGCAGGGCTGGTCCCTGTCCCCGCTCCTGGGAAAGGTGCCTGGGGTCCTGCACACACCCCCAACACCTCCCCATGCTTCTCCTAGGGCCAGGAACGCCACCACCCTGGCACCCCGATGTCCCAGGCCAAGGAAAGGAGCCGGGGCCAAGGAAAGGAGCCTCCAGCTCCGCGGCCGCTGCCCGCCTGGAGCCGCTGCCTGCGGACATGCAGGAAGCCTCATTGTTCTAAAAACTGCAGCTGGAAGAAACACAGGATGCCCAGGCCCCCCGAACAATAGCTGCCACGGAGGCCACGCGGAGCCCGGAGCCGCCGCGGGGCCGGGCCGCGCTGCCAGCCCCTCCGCCTCTTCCTCAGCAAGGCCCTGCTTCTTACAATTTTATCTTTTTATCTTTTTTTTTTCCATCCTCCCCTTCGTTTCTCCTTTTCACTGTGACTCACTTCCCCGTCGCGGGCAGCCCAGCCCCTGGTTGCTCTTAGTGCAAAGTGCCTGAGAGCCGGGGGCACCCGGGGCCACGTCCTGCCTTCCTCTCCTTCCCCCTCTTTGTCACACTGCATTTTCAAGGGGGACAGGGAGCTTTCAGGGGTGACGCACAGCAGCGTGACTGCCTCCGCCTCCAGCTTCCCCAGCAACAAACCCGCTAGAAAGAGGAACCTCCACAGGGCACTTCTTGGAGGGCCTCATGACACGCCCCCATTGCACAAATCCTGTCTTTCTCTGCCCCAAATCTCACTTCCCTGTGCCAGGAGCAGACCCAACACTCCTGATGTGCGCACATGCCTAGCACAGTCCTGGGGATGCACAGGAGGATCTAGGACGCTCAAGCCTTCCCACAAAGGGACCACAACACCTTAACCCCCAGGGCAACAAGGACACATCACCCTCCACATTGCAAAGGGAGTTGGGTGCAACAGGAAGGAGGCAAAGAAGATCTTGAGTCGCAGTCACCGTCTGCTGCAAACAAGTCCCATGTGGCCACCATGGCTCGCGGGAAAGTCCCTGTGCTGCTCCATAGGGGCAGGCGAGCGCCCCGGCTGAGTCCCCACTCTGGCGCGGTGGCTTTCCCAGCTGCAGCCTGGAGATGGGGGCTTTCCCCATGCAAGGCCCCAGGGCCCTCCCTGCTCCTCTTTCCAGTCAAAGGAAGAATCCCACACTGATTTCTGTAATTTTTTAATCATCCCCTTGCACACAGCGAGCGCATTGTGCAGCTAGGACCCCGCTCTCCTCTCAGTCGGGAGCCAACCCCACAGCCTTCCACCCCATCCTCCAAAGGACAACAGCATCATGCAGAGCATGCAATGAGTTGCCCAGTGCTCAGACGGCACCTGTGTCCCCAAACACACCCCCAGTCTCAGCCCTGTGGCCGAGCAGGGAGGGTCACGAGCCGAAGCGACCGGGGCTCATCCAGTACCGCGCGCGTGTCAGCGCACGGCCCCGCTGCCGCCGTTACCCCCGAGGACAGGGACTCTGGCCAAGGTGCTAGAAAAATTTTGGGAGCCGCCACCGCAGAGGAACGTGCTCTCCGGAAGGCAAACACTTTCCTCCTCAGCCAGGAGCAAGTTCTTTTTATTATTATTATTTTATTTTTCTCTACTTATTTTTCTTTCAAAGCCTGCAATTATCCAGCAGCATTTGAGGAAGCGAGCACATCCCGTGCTGGCAGCGTCACCCTCTGCCCTTTCTCACAGGCATCTGCTCCTGCAGCACCCTCGACACCGTGCCCTGTGTCCTGGGACAGCGGACACTTGTTGTGCAACTGCTGCTGCAAAGCACAAAAAAAGCAGGAAATCAGTGTCCTGGACCCGCTCGCTTCTATGATTTCTGTGCCACAGACACTCCCCTGCACCCACCACCCTTTTCTTTCCAGTACAAAGTTTCCCTAAGCTGCGCTCCAACATCCTAGGGATAAACACAGGGCAAAGACTGCAGCTGGATGTTTTCCCAAAGTGAGCAGGAGAAACTCCATAGCTCTGCTCCTGGATTGTGCAATGCAGGGAAGCAAGGGCAGATTTAGCAAGAAACAAGGATTTGCCCTCACTCTGCAGAAAAAAAGCAGGAAGGAGAAGGGGGTGCCCATGGCCTAAGGCTATTGCGGGATCTTGGACTGCACCAACCACAGGAAACAGGGACTATTGTCTGGAGAACAAAAACTATCCAAGGAAGAACACAATGGCCATTCCCCCTATCCCCCAGGTTACCTGCCCTATTAACTCCTTCTTTCCAGGGCACCACTTCTCCTGCGTGGCTTGTGAGCAGCTAGGAGGAAGGTTGGGACCTGCTGCAAGGGGAGGACTGAGGGAAGGATGAGATGCCACGTGGGGCAGAGGGGACGCTCAGACCTTCAGCGGGAAATTCCACCGCTGTCAGTAGAACAGCAGGACGAGGAGCGACGGGCCTGACTCAGACCGAGAGAGACACTTCAGCTGGGGCGGCTCCCGGGTGCAAACGCCCCGCACGAGGCACTGCAAGGAAACACAGCCTGAGGCACAAGCAGAGCGGGCAAGGAGGTGGCGCAGGACCACAGGGCCATGCGTGGGGATGACCCGAGCTCGCCCGGTCCCCGGGCGCTTCCCCAAGACGGGGTCCGCGTGGGAAGGTTGAACCCGATTCCCACTGCCCCTCCAGCAGCCCGGGCTCCTCCGCTGCCTCCCTGTCCCCCCTGGCTCTGCTCGGCGGGCGCTGCCGCCGCCTCCGTCGCGCTCTCGAGCTCCTTGTCCCTCAAGTGCCGCTCTTCGTGTTGGCTGGTGAGGCGGGCACCTCGGCGGGCGGCGCGCGGCCCCCCTGGCTTCGCGGCCCTCATCTCTAGGCAACCTGACCTGGACACCGCGGGCTCCGCCGGAGCCGTTCCCATGGAAAGAGCCACACAAGAGGCTGCGGAGCCTTTTCTCTGTGCCGGGAGAAAAGGGGCTTTGTTAGCTTGCCCAGGGGGACAGCGTGAGAGCCGAGGCTTGGGGCTCTGGGAATCCAAACGGACAAACGAGGCAAAACAAAACAAAACAAAAAAAAAAGGCAGAAGAAAGACAGAGCTCACAAGGAGGGGGAGGAAAGAAAAGACCAGCCATTCCCAGGATCATCAGTAGGTGCTCAAAGAGGATTCCCCCCCCACACACACTCTCCATCCCCTCGCAGTGACACAAGAGCATAAAAGAGGTTTCCATTAAATAACTGCACGCAGGGGAAATGGCAGAGCTGCTGCCAGGCCCCAGAGCCCTGAGCAGAGGGACAGATCCCAGGCAAAAAATATCCATGCTCAGGGCTGGCTTGCAGGAGCAGAATCTGCCCAAAGGCTCCAAGGGATCCGAGGCAACCAGGATACGGACACTTGGGTTCCGCTCCCTCCCCCAGCCACTTCAGACTGCCTAAAAAACAGCTTGCAAGTGAGAAATGCGACGCCAAACCCAGGCAGGGCCCCGAAGGAAACACGTGAAGACAGAAGGATAGGAAGGTCTGGACCTTAAGTTGCTTGGGAAGCTGTCTAATGGTGAAAAAGTGTCCCACGAGCAGATGGCAAGACACATTTCCTAAGGAAACGGATTTTTTTTCTCCCTTGCTCATTTTGCCTTAGTACTTTGAAGGACTGGGCAAAAGGTTGAGCAAAGGACTTCAGAGCTGGCATGAATTGGGAGCTGCAGCTGTCCCAGCACAGGTGAGCTGGAGGCAAGAGCACATCCAGCAGCAGATCCATGGAAGTCGGGGAGCACTTCAGCCCTTCCGCACACCTGACTGGGAGCTATAGCGCATCCCAGAGCCCTCCCAGCGCTCCAGCTGGGAACACAGGTGCCCTCCATGCTGCAGGCACCCACACCACCTCATCCAGTGCCCCCAGCCCCGGGGACACCAGGGGACAAGACTCTTGCCGAGGGGCCAGCCCGAGCGCTCCAGACACCAGCTGCTCCCTGCTCTGCGGGGCCAGGCCTCAGTTTCCCCACAGAAAGACACTCAGGGGAAGCTTTTCCATAGAAATTGTTTGGATGGAGCAATCCCAGAGCTGCAGTTATTCCATGATCAATGAGCTCAGGCTACCGGGGTGGACTCCCCATCCCCAGCGCACCTCCCGGCTGGGCAAACCGTCTTTCCCGCTCCTGAAAACACCATCATCCCCAGAACGCTCTCGCTCGGCAACACGGGGGAGCACAAAGCAGTGACGACGCTTGCAGAGCCCGGGCACCCCCAGTCCCCAAACCACACAGTG